AGAAAGAAAGAAAGAAAGAAAGAAAGAAAGAAAGAAAGAAAGAAAGAAAGAAAGTCAAGAGCAGGGCTGAGCAAGTCAGAGGTCTTAGAATAAACAGGGAAGTACTATTTTATAATTATTGCCTAGAGTTGAAAAGTGAATGGTCTATGAGACTAGAAGTCACTTCTTTCAAAAATCTTCATCTATGAATCCCACCGTTGAGATTCCTAACTCAGGCCCCTCTATCAGGAGGAGTCCTAAATGCATCAGCCCTTCGTCTGTCTTACCTGAGCAGATCACAGAGGCAGCATCCCCATGGGAGCAGTTAGGATTCCCCAAGGCAGTCACAGGGCACTCCCATAAATGGGACTCAGTGCCTAAACAGTGAAACCTGTGGTTCCAAACCTGGCCACTTCCCTCCTGAAAAGGCACTCCTCTTGGGGTAGAAATGGCAACTCCGCAGCCAAGGTCCTGACAGACAACATTGGCATCAGCCAGATCCCAGAGAGAGTCACAGAGTGGTCCCCAATCTCCAAGAATCTGGATCTCCACTTGGCCCTCACATTCAGAGCCATTGGGGGATGCAAGCCTCAGTCCTGTGTATCCTGGGAAAGAGAGGCAGGAATGTTAATAAAACGATGTGATTTTTCTTGAGACAAGTTAGGAAAGAGGCTGGTTTCTCCCAACCTGTATTCCGAGTTGGGATGACTTTGAGGAATTTCCCTAGGCCAACACATATGGACCTTATGACGCCTCATATTCCACTAACATTTAAACTTATGGCATGTTACAATAGCCTAGACAATTTTCCATTCCTTTGCCCCCTGCAAAAATCATGTATTTTTCTCCGCTGTAAGAATAACATGTTTTAGTCGTACTCCCTGGTCTGCAGCTTTCAGTAGTTGGCCAGTTGGGAGTGAACACAGGAGCAGGGACAGACCAGACATGAGTGACCTGAACTGAACTCACGGGCCAAAAACACACAAGTGGAGGACTCGAGCCAGAAGTCCTGGCACCTCCCGTAATGAGTGACGACACCCCGCCCAGAAGTGTGTACCTCAGTCCCCATTGATTACCTGTCGCATGTGTGCCCAGTTACCATAACTCCGCTATGTGGGCTCAATTCCTAGAATTGGCCTCTTTTCATGAATAAACATGATGTCCTTCCGACCTAAATTTCCTTTCCAAAGCCTTTTTTCCTTTGCTTGTGGAAACATGGTCTGTGTTGCCTTAGGCCCCTCCACATCTACCCTTCCAAAATGCTTCTCTATCCAATAAACCTTCACGTCCCGCCTTGCAAGGTGCCTCTCTCTCTAATAAGTGCTTTACTTGGAAGATCATGCTGCGGAGGGAAAGCCTCTTTAACCGGAAACGTGTTCGGGTGACATTCTAAACTTAGCATAGTGGAGGGGTGGCGGAGCAGGGGAAAGCTCTGAGTCTCACCGGAGCAGACAACGTGGACAGCCCCGCTGCGGTGACAAGTGCCTCCAGGGCAGGGCACTCTAGGACACAGCCTGAGCTCAGCCTCTTGCCCCTCACACTGAAATTCTTCTGCCCAGATCTTTCCATTAGTGTCTCGCCAGGGCACGTCCCCCTGAACAGACACAGCCTTGCCACACTCCAACTCTGCACAGATGACGTGGGCCGTGGCGTAGGTGACGTTCCTATCAGAAACTGGAATCCACTCTGTCTCAGGATATACTTCCACTCGCCCTGAGCATGGTCCACTTCCTCCAGCCAGATGGACAAACTCTGAGGATGAAAAAGAAAAACTTTAGCGAATACACCTAGGCCCCAGGAGATTATTGCGTGTGAAGTGTCGGCGGCAGCCCTGAGAAAACACATGCTGTCTTCGAGGGAAAGAACACCCTAACTGCTGAAAGAGAAGATGAGATAGAGGAGAAAGCCCTCATCACGGGGAGAATCAGCCTTCTGGAAGCATGGTTCGATTCAAGCAGATAGAGCCATGGAAAAGCAGAGTCCCAACAGAGCTTCCTTCCAGGGCCAGCCTCCACAAAGGAAAGGGACAATGTTAGGCAACAACTTCCCTCTCCGTTGAGAGGATCCTGAATCCCTGGAGAATGCTGTGTGAACCAAACAGGACCACGGTCAAGGAAACTGCTTATTGAATAAGCATCCGGCTTGGATATTGATATCTGACCTGCTGGAGCACTCTGGGACTTGATTTTAAAAGCAAAACAAAAGGATAGTGTATTAGTCTAGGTACTTTGGAGAAACAAATCCATAGCAACTCATGTATAAGAGAGTTTTATGTAAAGAAAATGTGCATCACGAAAACATCTCAACCCAGTGCTGCCCAAGCCCACAAGTCCAACATTAACCCATTAACCCAACACCAGTCCACAAAGTCCTTCACCTCACAAAACAGAGGCAATGATGCCGACTGCAAGAGGAAAGCTGAGTCAGTGAACGAACAAGCATCTCAGCACTAGCAGGGGTCTCCACATGGCTGCTCCAGCACCCAGAGTTGCATCAGGATATGTCCATGTAGCTTCTCCTTGGGGATGTCTTGTATGAAGTCAATCTTGCAAGCTGAAGCAGGGAACTGCTAAGGCAGCTGCACCCGGTGCAACCCTCACAAAGCAAGAGACCCAAGAACTAGAAAGGCGAGGCTCACCACCCATTTATCCCTCCACCTTTCAATTAGCCCCACATGTGATTATCGGCCAGGCTGGCACAATTAACTAACTCAGATAGGGAAGAATCTTAAAATGACTGAGAATTGCTTCTTTCTTTCCACATCCAGTACCCCATAGGTCAGGAATAGGGCCAATGTGTGTTCTTCTTGGGTTAAGTACTCAGTTTCTAGCCAACAGGTTGCTGTTTCAAACCCACCAGCCACTTGATGGAGAAAAATGCGACAATCTACTTTCATAAAGATCACAGCTTTGGAAAATCCCCCTACTCTATCTCTTTGTGGTTGCTGGGGTTTTTATCTGCTATTGTTCTTGTTTGTTTGTTTGTTTGTTTGTTTGTTTGTTTGTTTGTTTGTTTAGGAGGGTTTTATTTCATTTTAGATTCTGTCTGTGTCTGGGGTATAAATTTCATACTTGCTCTTGTTCAGAGTTCAGTGGGATTTTTATTATTATTATTTTACCAGACATGTGCTGCCCAATCCAGTAACCTTTCTAAAACCAAATAAACTCTTCAAGTTTACTTAATTTTTTAACAATCATTTGACCCTTAAGCCAGGCCTGCTCCTTGAATCTATAAACAAGCCTCGTGTTTAGAATATAAAATCCGGGTGCTGCCTGACCACTGTTGCACCTTTACATTTAGTTTGTTTTCTGTGTTACTGATGACGTGTTCATCCCCTCTTAGCTGAACTGAATAGAAAGGATTCATCCTCACCTGGTGGGTTAATGAGTTATACAGTGGGCTGCTAACTAAAGATCGGAACTTAGAACCCACCGTGGGGTAGCAGTCGTGCCTTGGGCTGTGACCCGCACCGTCGTTGGCAGTGGGAAAGCACCAGCAGCTCGTGGAGAAGACAGAACTTTCTACTTCCATGGACAGTTACTGACTCGATGGCAGTGCATCTGGTTTGGGGCTTTCTCTCAGCAGAAGCAAAATGAGACAAACTGTCCCGGTAATGGTTTACAGTCTCGCAAACCCTGCACCGGGTCGCTATGAGTTGGTTTGGGGCTTGTTTTTGTTTCTTAAGTTTTTATGTAATGCAATCCTTGAGTCACCCAGTGGTAAAGTCCCAAGACTCACCAGTGGAGCTGGGGAAGAGTGAGATCTCGGGAGGCAAATCGGAACAGGTGCGTCAGCTGGTATTCCCTGACAGATGGTCTCCCTCAGGTGGCTTTTGCATTGCTGCATGAGATCCTTGCTACCGTCTAATGGGACTATCATAAAATCACCAAAGAGAGAGTGTGTGTGGGGTGTGGGGGAAGCCCAACTGTGGAACAAACATAATCACAACTTAACAAGGCACGAATAATCATTATTAAAGTAAAAGCAGTGATCACTAAAAATTCTGCTGGCGTTAAAAATACAAGAAAAGGACATTAGGTCCAATGACATGCCAGGAATTCTGGAAATTGGGATTCGATTTTAAATAAAACTAATAAAACTGAATAATTCTATAATACTTAAGTAAATAAATAAGAAATAACCTTCACCAAAAGAATTAGCAGACAAAATCTAGCAAAATCTTAAACTATTATATATCACCCCAAACTGGCTTTATCCGGACTAGCAAGATTGATTTCCACATTGGAAGATTAACTAATGAACTTCATCATACATTTTATTCAGGACCTGGTAACAAACAAAATTCAGTTCAGATCATTCACATCACCAGATTTTTAAATAAAGGATAGCTTATAGAGCATGGGTAGGAGTACAGAAAATCAGGGATAGGGAAACACTCAGACTAGCAACATGAGAAGCTTCACCTCCCCCTGAGGGCTGAACAGAAGACTGAAGATTGGTGGGTGATTTTTATGAAATGCAGCTAACAATAAATTAAAAGTCTGGTCGAGGTTTAAGGTGTATGGCTGGCTAGCGAGACATAAAAACTAAAAGACATTAGAATTGTGTAGGATTATTTTGCCCTTTAGAACCTTCCCTATTCTGTTAATTTTCCATCATTATGTATATTATTTGAAAAATAAAGATTTTTCTCATTTGAAGAGATCGGCCCTCCTTAAGAACTCCAAAAGAATCCATTTAAAACAATGACTCCACATATCTCCCCAAAAGTTCATAAAATATCCACATCGAGGAAGGTAGCTAATCTCTGAGATTAAACTGCAAGCTCTCACCACAGTTTATGATAGCCCCATTAGACGGTAGCAAGGATCTCATACAGTACTTTGGGTGTGAGATCTCTGTGAAGTGACGGAGGAGAGCCATGGTGATTAATATGATTCAATGATTTAATTATTGTCTTAATCAACAGTTGACAGAGCTTGGCATTCACAGAAGCACAGAACCCTTCCATTAGGTGCTTCTTATCTCCTTTTCTTCAACAGAAGTTGAGCCTGCGCAGAAGGTACGTCACAGGGACCCTGGTATACAGAAAGTCCGCTAAAGCCTCTGATTAAGGAGGTGGTATCAGCTTACACTGGCATGCTATCTAGCTTTCTTTAACTTCTTGGACATTACTATTTAGACATCTGAAGTCTTTTCCAGCAGTCACGACAAGCACAGAGTAACAGGAGACCTGGATCAAGGCTCTGCATTTCCCATGAGAAACAGAAGCCCATGCCCACTCCACTTTACTCTAAATCTGTAGACACCCAAAAAAAAAGAGTGTGGCAAGAATGAAAGGAACAGCTAATTAAATTTTTTCCATTAAGAAAGCATCCATTTTTAACCACAGTGTCTTTTGTTCACTGGTTCCACTGGTACCAGTAAAAGTAACAATAGTAATAGCTGCTGTCAAGACAACTGTGACCCGCGGCGACTCTGTGCTCCATGGGATTTCCAAGGGCTGTTTTTGTTTGGTTGGTTGGTTGGGGTTTTTTGGAAATAGATTGCCAGGCCTTTCTTAGGAGGCATCTCTGGGTAGACTCAAGCCTCCAACCTTCCAGTTAGCAGCCACGTACCACCTACTGATTCCAACTTCACTAGTTGTTGTTATTGTTAGTTGGTTGGCATCGAGTCAATTCAAACTCGTGGCACGCCCATGTGGGACTGAGCAGAGAACTGTTTCATGGGATTTTCTTGGCTGCAGTCTTCCCAGCGGGCCTTTTCTTCCACAACACCACTGCGTGCATTTGAACTGCCATCTTTCAGGTTAACAATCCAGCGCAAATCATTTATGCCGCCTAGGGCCTTATTTCATTGGTACGTCTGCCTAAAATGTCTTGAAATCTGAAGTCCAATCATCATCTCTCACAGAGCTAATCTGTGTAAGATAACTTGGAAGCGGTGTAAGATAACTTGGAATAGATATAAAGATCCCTTTGCCTTAAGCATCACAAGAGGTCCCAGAGGCCCAACATGGGTCTCAGTGTAGACCCTCCCTGGCAGGACTCAGACTGATGAAGTCAGAATGGAATCGGGCCTCTCTGGACTGCGTCCTGGCACAGGACCCAGATGAGAGTCTTTGACTGTGGCTTTGAAAATTACAGACAGATAAATTTATCCTGGGCAATATTTGGGAATATGGGGGCAGGGAGACAGGTGGGGAATGAGGGTTTCAATATTGTTTAGTGGGAAAGTCACATAAAAGTCCCTTTAGGAAGTTCTTTCTGAATTCTCTATATAATGTCCCAACATTACTAGATTAAGTCATATTTGAAGTTCATTATTGTATACTAATAATCTCTTACTGAAGCATGATTGAATGGATGTCTTAGATTCTCGCACCTGAAAATAACACTAGGAGAAACTGAGTCATGGGTCTCCATATTACACCTGAAGAGACTGAACCAAGAGAGGTTTCAGGTTCATAGTTGTAAATATGCAGTCTTAGCACCACACCTCCTGACCCACCGTCCCTACATCTCAAGATGCACAACCAATATTTCAAAGTTCCAGGAACTCATAGACCTAAGGCCTTTGCTACCCTGAGTTAAGAAAGCTCTCATACTGATCCCATAATGCTCTAAGATTCATTCATGACAGCAGTCTTTACCCAGGGAAGCTCAAGAGGCCATGAGCCTAAATTTTCACAGGAATTCTACTAAAAAGACTGAAGCTTTTATACTGAGGAACAGCCTTTCAGATCAGAATGGCCTTACCTGCACACACTACTCCAACATTCCAAATAGTGATTGAATACCGAGATTTATAATGTGAGAAATTAAAACGTGGACATTTATTGAGAGTTGTTTCTGTTCCCTTGCAGGAAAATTGTGTAAATATAATTATTGGGTTGGGCTTTTCTCCCGTATGAAGCAGTTTTTGGTAAACATCAACAGCAGCTCCACATCCCAGTTGTCTGCACACCACAGCCGCTTTGTCCAAGTTCCAGTTGGAATCCCACACTATTCCCCACTCTCCTTCATACTTCATTGCCACTCTCCCATCACAGCGGTGGGCTCCACCATCCAGTTTCAGCTGCACATCTGCAACACAAACACACCAGACACAGGAGATATTTTTCAAAAGCCAGACCTTGAACTAAGATGTTGTGTTGTTAATTGCTTAAAGTACACAGGAAAGCATATTAGGTGCCTAAAGCTTGTTAGGTGCCATCAAGTCAGTTCTGGCCCATGGCCACCCTGTGCACGACAGAATGAAACGCTGCTTGATCCTGCACCATCCTCACAATTGTTCCAATGCTTGAGCCCATTATTGCAGGCACTGAGTCAACTCACTGAGTCAACCTCACTGAGGTCCTTCCTCTTTTTTGCTGCCCCACTACTTTACCAAGCATGATGTCTGTGTTAGACAGGGTTCTCTAGAGAGA